AATACCATACTTTAAAAAATCAGGAACTGGACTTGGTGATGTTAGGTTAATGGTTGGACTGGATGATCTTAAAGGTCTTTTCCAAACTAAACGATTCTATGATTCCATGAAACAAAGAATTATAAACATGCACCTCAGAAGGGATTCAGGGCAAAGGCTGAAGCAGTTCTTGTATCAAGTTTAGAATTCTCTTCTCTTTTACAAGGAATTCAGCTTTCACTGTAGTACTATTATTATTTTCTTTTTTCAAAGGATGGCTATGGGTAAGTGTGACTGCATACAACATTTTGATCAGATTTGGCCTCTGGAAACAGCGTCTCTGGGAGCAACTCCTGGAAACAAGACTCTTCTGTGGAAGCTCCCCGAGGTGGTTCCTAGGCACTGTAGTAACAGCAATAACAGTAACAGTAATAGGAACAGATGGAAAACTGCAGTGTTGGGCTCTCTGATGACCATATACTTTTTGTTAGGGGTTTCATGCTGAAGGTAAGATTTTGGGGACAGAAGATCTTGTTTCAAGCCATATGCTGCCTGCCAAGATATTAGTTGTTTCCTGGTCATTTAACCACCTGACACCCTGGCTGAATATTAGAAACTCTTTTCTAATTAAGCCCAAGCAAACTTCATCAGCATAATACTAACAGTTTAACACAGTTAAGTAAGAGCTTCAATTTTTTTCCAGATTCTTACCCTACTTGCTTGCTGGGAACACAGCACAGTACTTGGCTGAGTCATCTATTCATAAAGTAAGCATTAAATAAATAAGTTGGGGGAAGGGGACAAGAATGGGAGAGGGCAGGGGCAGGAGGGTGTTTCCCCATTCTCTTGGTGCTCCTTCACCTCATAATTTTAGGCAGGAGAATCAGTTTCTGAAAGATTTCCTTGTCTTCTGTATTGCCAGCCATGGCCTCTGGATACCTTGTGTAATAAAGCTATGTTAATACGGTTTGGCTTCTTAGCCTGGATAGTACCTACAAGCACTGCACACTTAAGGTAGCTATACTAATCAAAATTCAATTAGAAGTTTATTAGAGCACTGGCTTCTGTGCTTACTTTGAGAATAGATCAGAAGATACTTCTGGAAAAGTCTGGTCAAGAAGCAGAACTTTTCAAATTAAAATTAAGTACTATGTTAGTGCTTAGTTAAAAATATGCTAAAAATGAAACATTGCAATATGCGTTTTATATCTCACTTGATTGTTATAGTCTGTGTCAACATGGGCAAGTGCATGCAATAATTGTGTAACAAGATTTCATAAGAAATTTCTTTTGTGGCCTTTTAAAATCACATCCATGGAAATAAAAATTCCTTATTATGAGTTCCCTGGGCCAGCTGATGAAAGTTAAATATTAAGTATTGCTAGCTACCTGAATCTCTCCGGTTACTAATTTAACAATATGCTAATTTAACAATATAACTCCATTGGACTTCTTATCATTCTCTCAGCTAGAGTCCGTGGCATGATGTTCGTGTTTTTGGATCAGAGTTAAAAATCCAGAATAAGATTTATTTCAGTGAGGTCATCATTACATTCCCAGTTAGTATGTCCACACTGGTTTATTTAGCCAGTATTTTAATTACCCTGGATATGATGGAAAGATTTTATATGCCCTGTCAAAAGAACAAAAGGTGGCTATGATTTGGCTATGTAACAAGTGCAGTTTTAGCCGCAAATCAGTTTTCTCCTTGGAAAGGATTTCATACTTGATTGCTTCTAGGGCTTCAAGAAAATTATGTGTGAGTGCCCAGAACAGGTCCAGAATTTTGATAGCCTTCAGCTCAGGGTTACATGAGTTAAAGTTAAATGCAAAGAATATCTTTTAATGAGAATAACTGGACACTGGAACAGTCCCTAAAAGGTTAAGATTTTAGAGGCAACATTAACAAAAAGTTGAACAAGATGCTAGCAAAAGCTCAAACTCCAGAAAAGTCTTTTTGAAGCCTCAAGTTTTCAAGCTCTCAGTGAGCTTGCTTACACTCTGCCTGTTACTTTTGTATTTTTCTCCTGTATGTTTGGATTTCATATTGATGTAACCAACTCTAGTGATGCCCCAATCAGCATTGGATTATAGATCTGCACTCAGAACTAGCAGAGCAGAAGAAACTTCTTGCCCCTATGTATTTCCCTTGAAATTAGCTAGCTCCCACAGAACTACTAGAGGAAAATGAGAAATGGGAAAGAAAGGATTGTATTCTGCACTGCTGAAAGAGACAACTAAATGTAGATGGAGCAGCTCATTGTCCCTCAGTTTTCAGCAAGAGACTAACTTGCCAACCCAGCTGAGAGCTTCGTTTGGAACTACCAGGCAGGAGTATTACTTATTTCAAGCAGTCATGGAGACAGTTTCTTGGCTGACTGTCAAGCATCTATGGCAACTGGCTAAGGCTGCACCTGCACCTGTGCAAGGAATATAATCCATTATTCTGAAAGACCTGCAATGAATTTATTTAGGGTGAGAGCAAGAATAAGCTGTTATGTAGTGTAAGGGTTAATTTTTGCAGGGGACCTCTTGTGGTATTGCAGTCCTTTCTGGAAACCAGAGAACAAGCTGGTCCCTCAAGTAGCCTTGTACCCTTTAAAATCACATTTTGGCAGAGCCTGATGTACCAGCTAAGATCAATTTTTGTTGACACAGGTAAGAAATTGTGGAAGTATGTATAGGTGGAATGAGAAGGTCTAGTGTGGAATTGGGAAAGTAGCAGTATTAAACTGCAGATGCATAACAGAGAGCTGTGTTGATTTTGTTTAACCCCTGATAAAACTCGCGCAGGAATAGTTACCATGGCAACAAAGTCCAAATCAGGCTAGCATTAACTAAAGGCTGAGATAACACAATCCCATTTTTAGCGCTCCAAAAGGGAGAAAATCGCTGATGATCACACTAAAGATGGAAACAATACAATTTCAAGCTGCATAATATGCTAGTAGGTCAACAGCTGAAAGTAAAGAATGCCAGCAAGAAGACCATTTCATGAACAACCCCCCCAATAATCACAAATCAATAAGAATTTAGTGAGATGTAAAATATCAAAATATAAAAGTGAGAATGCTGAGTGTCTCTATCCCGTTCAAAGTGTATTTCTGAACAAAATATGAATGTTAAAAGCCATCATACAACACATTTTTTACCTGTACGAATATTGTGACCAGAAATGTATTTCCCAGCTATGTGTTCAGGAACTCTGTCTTTTCTACTTCAGTTCTTCTGAGGCACTCTGCAGAATCATCTGGAAATATTTATCATTATAGACTAGCTATGCTGGATCAAAATATGACGCCACTCCCTCCTATATGTAAAGTGTTGAAATCAGTAGAATATTACTTGACAAGCCAATAGTAACCTCTAGTACTCTACAACCTCATAGAGGATGTAGGATGGGCCACAGAAAAGTGACATTGAAGGTGTCTGCTGCAGCTATGGCAACATGCAGAGAAGCTGAACAGGGACCAGAGAGGGGCAGTAAGCCAGTGGGCCAAAAGTATACTCAGTTCTTGGCAAAGAACTCTTATGATTGCATCTCCTCCTCAGATGGACTCCTAATGTACCACACTGCCGTCTAACTCAGACATTACCAGATACTACACAGTCATTACCAGGACTAAGGAGCTTGTTGCCAGTCTTGTCTCTTCCCCAATGGTGCAAGGTTTTTTCAAAGGCAAAACTGTGGGAAATTACATTCTTTCTAAAGTAATGCAAATAAATGCGTCCAAGAGGATGTTCAGTGTAATCTACTGGGCAAGAACCATAAAAGCCTAGGGGGCTTTGTATCACATTGGCACCTGAGGAGCCTATTTGTAATTCTGCAGCAGGCACAACATGGAAGATCACTTCCATCTTGTCTAGGTGGCAGCATATGTTTTCTCATAAGAAATGTGAAGGTTATTCAGGCAAAGCGCCTCTGTCAACAGATTCTTTGTGAAAAGCAGATTGAATATTTCATGGGGACATTTTCCTGACAGATTTGTTGTCAGTCTTGGCTTCCTGCCCTAAAGATGCTTCTTTGATCGAATGGCAATGCCATTGTTCTCAGTGGACACACTCTGGATTAAAATCTTCCTTCATCGAGCATTATACCTGCTATGTAGGTTTAAAGTGTTCCTATTTATTATCAGCTACTCTGCAACTCTAAAATTGGTGTTATGCTGCATTTAGGATTGGGGTTTAACTGTGGAGTATGAAAGACAGGCATACCAGAAACAGTAATTTGTCAGACAAACCATTGGACCATAAAAGTTCTAT